CCCACTTGATTCAAGCGATTGTAGTATCCAGACAATCTGAGCACATGCTCACTCCTTGAGCTATTCTCCTCCATCCTTTAGCTATAGAACTTGTTGGAGACTTCATATCTCTCAACTCGAGTATTTGCTTGAAATATTAACTTCAACTCCTGGAACATCTCATATGGTCCATGACGTTCAAAACGTCTTTGAAATCCCGATTCTAAGCTGTTAAGCATGGTGCTCTAAACTATCAAGCAGTCATCATATTGAGCTAGCCAAACGTTCATGACGTCTGTATCTGCTCCTGCAATAGGCCTGTCACCTAGCGGTGCATCAAGGACATAATTCTTCTGTGCAGCAATGAGGATAATCCTCAGATCACGGATCCAATCCGCATCATTGCTACTAACATTTTTCAACTTAGTTTTCTCTAGGAACATATCAAAAAAACAGAGGAGCTAAGCGCAAGCTATTGATCTACAACATAGATATGCTAATACTACCAGGACTAAGTTCATGATAAATTAAAGTTCAATTAATCATATTACTTAAGAACTCCCACTTAGATAGACATCCCTCTAATCATCTAAGTGATCACGTGATCCATATCAACTAAACCATAACCGATCATCACGTGAAATGGAGTAGTTTTCAATGGTGACCATCATTATGTTGATCATATCTACTATATGATTCACGCTCGACTTTTCGGTCTCCAGTGTTCCGAGGCCATATCTGCATATGTTAGGCTCGTCAAGTTTAACCCGAGTATTTCTGCGTGTGCAAAACTGGCTTGCACCCGTTGTAGATGGACGTAGAGTTTATCACACCCGATCATCACGTGGTGTCTGGGCACGACGAACTTTGGTAACGGTTCATATTCAGGGAGAACACTTTTATCTTGAAATTTAGTGAGAGATCATCTTATAATGCTACCGTCATAACTAAGTAAAGTAAGATGTATAAAAGATAAACATCACATGCAATCAAAGTATGTGACATGATATGGCCATCATCATCTTGTGCCTTTGATCTCAATCTCCAAAGCATCGTCATGATTTCCATCGTCACCGGCATGACACCATGATCTCCATCATCTTGATCTATATCAATGTGTCCTCACATGGTCGTCTCGCCAACTATTGCTCTTGTAACTATTGCTATCGCATAGCGATAAAGTAAAGCAATTATTTGGCTCTTGCATCTTATGCAATAAAGAGACAACTATAAGGCTTCTGCCAGTTGCCGATAACTTCAACAAAACATGATCATCTTATACAATAAATTATATCTCATCACGTCTTGACCATATCACATCACAACATGCCATGCAAAAACAAGTTAGACGTCCTCTACTTTGTTGTTGCAAGTTTTACGTGGCTGCTATGGGCTGAGCAAGAACCGTTCTTACCTACGCATCAAAAGCACAACGATAGTTTGTCAAGTTGGTGTTGTTTTAACCTTCGCAAGGACTGGGCGTAGCCACACTCGGTTCAACTAAAGTTGGAGAAACTGACACCCGCCAGCCACCTGTGTGCAAAGCACGTCAGTAGAACCAGTCTCGCGTAAGCATACGCGTAATGTCGGTCCGGGCCGCTTCATCCAACAATACCGCCGAACCAAAGTATGACATGCTGGTAAGCAGTATGACTTATATCGCCCACAACTCAATTGTGTTTTACTCGTGCATATGACATCTACGCATAAAACCAGGCTCGGATGCCACTGTTGGGGAACGTAGTAATTTCAAAAAAAAAATTCCTACGCACACGCAAGATCATGGTGATGCATAGCAACGAGAGGGGAGAGTGTTGTCCATGTACCCTCGTAGACCGAAAGTGGAAGCGTTAGCACAACGCGGTTGATGTAGTCGTACGTCTTCACGATCCGACCGATCAAGTACCGAACGTACGACACCTCCGAGTTCAGCACACGTTCAGCCCGATGACGTCCCTCGAACTCCGATCCAGCCGAGTGTTGAGGGAGAGTTCCGTCGGCACGACGGCGTGGTGACGATGTTGATGATCTACCGACCCAGGGCTTCGCCTAAGCACTGCTACAATATTATCGAGGTGGACTATGGTGGAGGGGGCAACGCACACGGCTAAGAGACGATCAACTTGATCAACTTGTGTGTCTAGAGGTGCCCCTGCCCCCGTATATAAAGGAACAAGGGGGAGGAGGCCGGCCCTAGGAGGGGGCGCGCCAAGTGTGGAGTCCTACTAGGACTCCCTAGTCCTAGTAGGATTCCACCTCCCATATGGAATATGAAAAGAGGAATGGGAAAATGAGAAGGAAGGAAGGGGGTGCCCCCCTTCCCTAGTCCAATTCGGACCAGACCAAGGGGAGGGGTGCGGCCACCCTTGAGGCCCTTTTCCTTCTTCCCGTATGGCCCAATAAGGCCCAATACGTATTCCCGTAACTCTCCGGTACTTCGAAAAATACCTGAATCACTCGGAACCTTTCCGATGTCCGAATATAGTCGTCCAATATATCGATCTTTACGTCTCAACCATTTCGAGACTCCTCGTCATGTCCCCGATCCCATCCGGGACTCTGAACTCCTTCGGTACATCAAAACATATAAACTCATAATATAACTGTCATCATAGCGTTAAGCGTGCGGACCCTACGGGTTCGAGAACTATGTAGACATGACCGAGACACGTCTCGGTCAATAACCAATAGCGGAACCTGGATGCTCATATTGGATCCTACATATTCTACGAAGATCTTTATCGGTCAGACCGCATAATAACATACGTTGTTCCCTTTGTCATCGGTATGTTACTTGCCCGAGATTCGATCATCGGTATCTCAATACCTAGTTCAATCTCGTTACCGGCAAGTCTCTTTACTCGTTCCGTAACACATCATCCCGCAACTAACTCATTAGTTGCAATGCTTGCAAGATATGCATTACCGAGTGGGCCCAGAGATACCTCTCTGATAATCGGAGTGACAAATCCTAATCTCGAAATACGCCAACCCAACAAGTACCTTCGGAGACACCTGTAGAGCACCTTTATAACCACCCAGTTACGTTGTGACGTTTGCTAGCACACAAAGTGTTCCTCCGGCAAACGGGAGTTGCATAATCTCATAGTCACAGGAACATGTATAAGTCATGAAGAAATCAATAGCAATAAACTAAACGATCAAGTGCTATGCTAACAGAATGGGTCAAGTCAATCACATCATTCTCCTAATGATGTGACCCCGTTAATCAAATGACAACTCTTTGTCTATGGCTAGGAAACATAACCATCTTTGATCAATGAGCTAGTCAAGTAGAGGCATACTAGTGACACTCTGTTTGTCTATGTATTCACACATGTATCATGTTTCCGGTTAATACAATTCTAGCATGAATAACAAACATTTATCATGATATAAGGAAATAAATAATAACTTTATTATTGCCTCTAGGGCATATTTCCTTCACTGCCTCCCAAAGTTTACACCTTGCCCACACGGAGACGAATTCTCGCCAAGATCCAGCGACGACCGTGAACCCCATCCACGACCACTGGCTCTCACGCGAGGAGCCGCACCACCAGGCCTCGATAGTAGCAACCCGCACCACCTCCCCGCCCGCCACGGAGGGCGGGGAGGAGGGATTTCCAGATCTGGGACGGGGTGTCGATGCGAGGAAGGAGCACTCCAGGGAGCAGGGGAGCGGAGAAGGAGGAGGAGGCGCCCCGCTGCCGCCGCGGCCCGGCCGGAGGCCAGCGGCGGCGGCGAGGGAGACGAGCGCGGACGAGGGGATGTTGAGGCGACGGCGGCGGCGTTCGCCTCATGAGTCGCAAGAGCGACCCACGAGACGCGGGTGAAGAATCTGGCATTGGCCATAATTTTCTTTTCTTTCAAAACGGAGGTAAAAATTTACATTATCATTAATTAAGCAGAAAAGAATTGCCCAGTTAAGCACAAGATAATTCCAAAAGGTTGTGATTTTACTCGTAGTACAAACAATTGGAGCTTTTCCACACCCTACAAGGTGATTTCTTTAATATCGGTCTGCAGTGCACGGTGCAGTTTTAGTTTTATATTCTTTTTTGAAACATGCAGTTTTAGTTTGGTGATATGTTGAGTTCCTTTCCTTTGCCAGACCGGCAGACCCTGCATCGGCCAACAGCACGAGCGTCTCGTCTGGGCTCCTGCGTGAGTTGAATGGTAGCTCGCTTGACCTCGCCGCAAAACCTGGCGCGCGGCCACGTCCGTCCTCTCAACGTGCCTCTCCTAACTACCACTAACCACGCCCCCAGACGCGCCCACAAACTACATCTTTGCCACAAGGCACAAGTTCACCCCCCGTCTACGCGTAGGCCAAAGAACTAGACCAGATTACGGCCGTGGCATAATCGCAATTACGGGCAGAGTCCACGGGCGTTTATATAGCCGCTGGGGTGTCATATAGGAGAGGGCACCACCACCCCAGCTGACCATCCCGTGCGCCCACGCCTCAACAGATCGCACCTACCCTGCCGGGCCGGCCTGCCCCCATCACATCAATACAAGCGTTCGCTCGCTACGTGCCGTCGTCTCCGGAGACCCTCCGCGCACCACCGAGACCATGGCCGTGTCCGAGCTCGAGGTCGACGGCGTCGTCTTCCCGCCGCTCGCCCGCCCGCCGGGCTCCGAGCACGCCCACTTCCTCGCCGGCGCAGGTGATTATTCAGTCAACGGCTCCGGGACTGCGACCTTAGATTCCGTTTTAGCGTATATCGTCTGGTGTTGGTCGGTTGAGATGCTAGATTTTTATTATTCAACCGTGTGCTCTGCTCACGGCGCGTGCAGGCGTGCGCGGCATGGAGATCGGCGGCAACTTCATCAAGTTCACGGCCATCGGCGTCTACCTGCAGGCCGACGCCGCCGTCCCCGCGCTCGCCGCCAAGTGGGCCGGCAAGCCCGCCGCCGACCTCGCCTCCGACGCCGCCTTCTTCCGCGACGTCGTCACCGGTAACTAATCCACATACGTACACACATACCTCCGCTTCCACACCGTGCAATAACCAATGGCCGGCGGTGCAGGCGAGTTCGAGAAGTTCACCAGGGTGACCATGATCCTGCCGCTGACGGGCGCGCAGTACTCGGACAAGGTGACCGAGAACTGCGTCGCCTACTGGAAGGCCAACGGCGTGTACACGGACGCCGAGGCCGCCGCCGTCGACAAGTTCAAGGAGGCCTTCGGGCCCCACAGCTTCGCCCCCGGCGCCTCCATACTCTTCACCCACTCACCCGCCGGCGTCCTCACCGTGGCCTTCTCCAAGGACTCGTCCGTGCCGGAGTCCGGCGGCGTGGCCATCGAGAACGCCCGGCTCTGCGAGGCCGTGCTGGAGTCCATCATCGGCGAGCACGGGGTGTCGCCTGCGGCCAAGCTCAGCCTGGCCACCAGGGTCGCCGAGCTGCTCAAGGGGGCCGCCGGCGGCGAGCCGGCCGTGGAGCCCGTGTCGGTTTCGGTGTGAATGAACAGGGGCACCGCGCGTCCGTCACTGGTGTGGTGGCTTGTGTGGCTGGTGGTGTCCGTGGTGGGAGGTCGTGTTCCCTCCAGTTCCTCACGGTTTGTCGGTTTTCTTCCCTGCATATGCAACCATGTGTGGATAAGTGGATAACTATGAGTCTGTGATGATTTACTTGGATTAATAAAGAAATCTGCCCTTCTTTACATCTTACTCCCTCTGTTAGTGAATATAATAAGGTCTTTAGAGATTTCAATACCGACTACATACGGGTGTATAGGCACATTTTAGAATGCATATTCACTTATTTTGCTTTGTATATAGCCTATATTGAATCTTATTTTGCTTTGTATATAGCCTATATTGAAATCTGTTCTATATTTAGGAACGAGGGGGTAGATTTGATGACAGAGAGAAGAGATTAATTTAGCTTTGTTTACGTGTTTATACTCTTAAATGGGGACATGAATATGATCGCATGCGCGTGTGCGCAGTATTCAGTCAAGTTCTACGCTTTTCCTTTTTTTTGAGGGGCGCTTTTCCTTTTTTTTGGCATGTCAAGTTTTACGTGCACGGCGAACCAACCTGTGGTTGGATGGTTAGAGGGACTGTGGTATCCCCAGCTCATCAGGGTTCAAATCCTGGTGCTCGCATTTATTCCTAAATTTATTTTAGGATTTCTGGCAATGCGCATTCAGTGGAAGGAGACGTTTCCGCCAACGACGAGGCGTCTACGGTGATTTCGTAAATCTCAAGATGATATGCCGGCTCAGTCTTTTGAAGATGCCCATAGAGGTAAGATGTGCGTGTCTGTGTTCATAGAAATGAGTGTATGCGCGTGTATATGAGCGCTTGTGTCTGTACTGATATTCAAAAAAGTTCTACGTACACGTTTCATGTGAGATGATAAGTTCGACAAACCCTATTCGCCGCTGCAGGCGCCGGTTAACCGGCAGTTTTTCTAACCGGCGCCTGCAGCCGCGTTAACTGGGCTGGCCCATGTATTTGTAGTTTTTTTTCCCTTCTGTTTCCAAAAGCGCAAAAGGATTGCGTGCAAGATGAATCGATCCCGTGACCGCTACACGCTAACCACCCGACCACACAACCTCATCTGATATTACTCAGCTTTCGCATTTTTTTATTACTTCTACATTTTCGTTCCTTTTTCATTTTTTCTTCTTCCTTACTTTTCAAATTGATGAACATTTTTCATGAACTTGATTTTTCAAATTGATGATTTTTCTAAATAAAATTATGAACTTTTTTGAACTTCTTTTCATTTTTCGATGAACTTTTTTCATATCGATGAACTTATTCCAAAATCTGTTAACTTTTTTTAAAACACATGAACTTTCGTAGAAAATCGATGAACTTTTTTCAAATACGATGATTTTTTTTGAAAATTGATGAACTGTTTTCAATTTGATGAACATTTTTCCAAAATTGATGAACTTTTTTCTAAATCAATAATTTTTTTTAATTTTTTTTGAACTTTCTATAAAATCGATGAACTTTTTTCAACATTGAATATATATTTTTCAAAATCGATGAACTATTTTTCAAAATTGATGAACTTTTTCCAAATTCATGGAAATTCTTTGAATTCGTGGTTTGTTTTGAAATCCGCAAACTTTCAAATTTTCTGCACATTTTTTCTCCCGAAATCACGTTCTTCTAATTTATATATGCTATAATAGCGTGGCTATACTTCTTAAAAAGTTTGCGCCCTAATGATTCAACAGAGCCTGTTCAGTATAGCGGTTGGGCAACACTTGCCGGAGGTGGATGTCGTGAGATCGAATCCTCACAGAAGATTTATGTGCCAAGTTTCCTAATCGGCGCCGACTAGAGCGAAATCACTAATTGAGGAGTACTCATTGCAAAGATTACTTCAAAATAAAATGTTTTATCTTTGGAATCGTGCGTCCAAATCTCAAATCGTTTTCACTGTTGGATTCCTCGCGTCAAGATCTTCAAAACAAGATCCCATGTTGATAGGTTTTGATGAACTTTTTTTCACACAAAAAACCGGATGAAAAACCGAACCAGTAGCATGGGATTTTTCCCTTTCTGAAAGAGGCATCACGAAATCACAACCGTGCTTCTCGCGGAAACAAAATCGTCGGAAGGAAAAAAATGCGTTTTTTTCGTTTCCGAGGAGGCACGGCCGTGCCTCTCGCGGAAGCAAAACCGTGACTCTCGCGAAAGAAAGAAAAAAGAAAACATTTTTTTTTAGTTTCTAAGAGGCACGGCCGTGACTTTTGCGAAAGCACAATCATGCCTGTCGCGGAAGCAAAACCGTAACTCTCGCGAAAGGAAAAAAAACAAAAAACGCGTTTTTTCGGTTTCCGAGAGGCACGGCCGTGACTCTCGCGTAAGAACAACCGTGCCTCTCGCGAGCAAACCCGTGACTCTCGTGAAAGGAAAATAAAACAGAAAACGCATTTTGTTTCCGTTTTAGAGAGGCACCGCCGTGCCTCTCGCGAAAGCAAAACCGTGACTCTCATGAAAGGGGGAAAAAAGGAAAACGTGTTTTTTCGCGCAATTTTTATTTATCAAAAGAACCAGAAAAAAACTGTTTAAATAGCCAAAAACGCGTGCGGAAAAATAAAAAAATTCGGAAGGAGCGCCCAGAGCGCGACACATGGCAAATGGCTCAGGGCGCGTCAAGTGGCGCTGATCGTTGCGAGGTTCTCAAAGAAGCGCTCGTTAACTAGTGGCTCCCTGAGTTCTACATACTCGTGTCGATGGCGGAGCTTGGGCTACATTATTATGGGTATATATCGTATATGGCCCACTTTATAAGAGCCATTTAGAGAAAACTTCGTGACTGAGGGGGAATCAGCCCAGGTTGGCCCTGCTGCCTTAGTATTGCGTTTCTTCCCTCTTTCCCATTTTTTTCCCGGATGACTTATCCCTCTTTTTTATTAATTTCTTAACGGAAACACAGTCTGTATGACTGAAACTGAACCAGAGACAACACCATAACTAGGAGAAGAAGTGAGAGGAAGAAAGCGAGCTGGGGCATTAGCCGGAAACCTGCTACCTCGAGCTGGAAGTTGAGACTCTAGCTACAGGGCAAAAACCGACTAACACCAAGATTACAAATAGTTCAGCCAAACCCACTTAATCCACTTAACAGGGAACAAGTTTCATTTTTTTGATAAAGAGGGAACAAGTTTCATAAACGACTCAAAAGGAGAAACAACTACAAGCTGATAGAAATAAACACCCAGAGCACAGGAATCGCTCCAGACTCGAGTGAGTGCACTTTCTATTCATGCCTTTTCTTCGCTCCTAGGTGTCCGAACCATCAGCACCAGCCGGAAACAAAAGCGACCCCAGATGAGATGTTTCCTCCATTAGTATCTGCACACCATTGTTCAGCTTCTCTTTGTCGACTCCTTTGAGCAAACCTGACCAGTACATCAAAAACAAGCAGATTGTAATAGTACCAATACCATATGATCATCAAAGGTTACTTTGTTTCTAACATTTCAGATCCCACAGCATATTGCAGAAACTCCAATCATATAAAATTTATACGAGAGAGAAAACCATGACAAACTTTGGCAAAGATTAGCAGGCATGCATTCCGCCCCCATGACTTTACCTACCCCCCTTTCCACCACCTTAGGGTATGTACAATGGTGTCATCTTAAAAGTGACACATACACTAGTAGAAAAAGGGTCAAATGTGAAGCACATTAGTGCCGGTTTCAATTTGAGCCGGCACTAATGTGTCCATTAGTGCCGGTTCCAACGGCTAGGCGGGCGGACATCATTAGTACCCATTCATGGCACACCTTTAGCACCGGTTCGTGCCACAGACCGGTACTAAAGTGAGTGGTGGCAGGATGTTGTCAGTCTGGGGCCCCTCCAACACCTTTAGTACCGGTTCGTATCACGAACCGGTACTAAGGTCATCCTACATAAACCCTTCGTCCACCCGTGCTCGCTCTGTTTTTTCCCTTTCCCCTCTCCTCTCTGTTCTTTCCCTCTTCCTCTCAAGCTCATCACACATTTTGCCCAAAATTTGTCAAGATTTGAAGGCCCCCATCCATTCAAATGATCACAAAGGTTAGCAACTTTGTCCTTTCATCTCTCATTGCTAGATTAGCTCTTGCAATGCTCTATATAGTGTTTGATTTGTGAGTTTAGTAATTTGGGAGGAATTATATATATGTGCTACTATTTGGTTTTATGCAATTTGAGGTCAAAAGTAACACTTAGTTTGCATATGTAAGTGTGGTTTATTTAGTGCCTTCTAAATCTCCGTCGTAACCACCGTCGATCGCCCGCAACGTCCCGTCGCCGGCACCACTTTGTGGTGAGCCTCTTGTTCATTAATGTTTTATATAAAAAATTGATGGTTGTGTGATTTGGATATATAGTTACTCGTATAATTATCTTACCCATACGTTGTTTGTTATACATAGTGCCATGATTTTGATATCCGTCCCCATCGGCCCTCGTCCGGGTTATGATTCGGATGTGGTATATTCTCTTTTCAAACTATTTGTTGCATTTCGTGTTTATGACAAATTATGCCCATCAAGTTGACATAGATATTTGTATGTAGGAGGTAGTTGAACTGGAAATTCCAACTGACCCTATTGTCGAGAGGTTAAATTTAGTTGAAAGAGAAAACGAGGATTGGAAGGAAAAATTGAAAAGAATTAAGGGGGAGAAGATGGAATTGGAGTTGCATGTTGCCGATGTCGTCGATGATCACAAGATTAAGATGGAGAAAATGCGCTTGAAGATTAGAAAGATTAGAAAATATGACATTCATAGTGAGGCTTGGTATCATTATGTTGTTGGATCAATTGTTACCTTAGTTGTGATCTTGATCGCATTTGTTATTGCATTTAAATTCTTTAGCTAGAGAGTTATTTGTTTGTTGCATTTAAGTGTTGTATGAACTTTATGTATGAACTTGTATTAATTTGGTCTTTTTCGGTGTTGTGTAATGAAGATGAGCCGACAATTGATGTACGATGACC